TAATGTGAAAAAGTGTTTCCATAGCAGTTTTGCAAGATATATCTATTTAAATCCGTCTGAAAAACCACATCATCCTCCAGCAAAGGACTTATTAAAATGTCAGTTTTTTCAAAATTGCCGTGTTTCTAGTGAGCAAATTTATTTTCATAATTCAAGTTGTGCAGTTCTATGGTTAATGGAAATGCAGCTGCCGTTGAACAGAAACCGTAACTCACCAGTCTGCCGCTTCCTGAGGGTGACGTAAGGCAGGAGGTCGTGGCGGGTGATTATCCTCAGAAGCTGGAGAACGTGTCGAAAGTTCGTCTCGTCGCACCGTCCCTGGCGTTCCAACGCCAGCAGGAAGTCTCTGCCGCTCCTGATGCCGCCGCGCTCGTACTCGTCAATCACGTCGACAAACAGGAAGGACAGCACCCTGACGTCCCTGTGAGTTAGCTGGGCTCCGACTATGTCGAACATGCGATGGAGGGAGTACAGCCCATGGGAGTTGTCTACGGCCTCCTCAGGCCACGGCTCAAAGGCCCCGTCTTGTCTGGATGAGCCGGAGTTTGTGGAGCGAGCCGAAATGTTTCTGTTGGCCGTCTGGTCGCTGGGTGCCGCCACACTGCGGCAGCCTCGCCTGCCTAGCGATGCTCTGTGCTCCAGCGGCCCGCTGTTCGCCCGGCTCTGACTGGAGTCCACCCGCAGCTGGGAGTGAGCCGAGGAGTTCGGGGCCAGGTGAGCAGGAATACCGGCATTCGGGATTGGTTGTTGTTGTTGTGACGTCATCTCCAAGGTCGGTAGAGACGAGAGACGTTAGGATCCCACCAACTTCCACGGCGTTCCTCTGCTCCAACAGACGAGCTGATGAGACGAGAGCATAATGCAGGAAGAGTAAAACTACTTTTCACCAGGCTGAGCTGCTGCAAAGCTACGTCTTCATGCTCAGTTTCCGTTCTTTACTGAAACACCTTTTTATTGCGCAGTTGTTCATACTAATTAAATTATTAGGGCAATAAATCAATTAATAGTAGAACTGGACAATATTATTGAAAAACTTATAAGCGGTAAAATAAAACGTAAGGTCTTCATCTGTTTTCGTCCAGAATAATTATGACACCTTAGTTTCCCTCAGATTCATTTTATTCAGTTAATATACAAAAAATAAAAATCACATTGTAAGAGGAAAACAGTCCTGAATTTATTTATATTGGTCACATTTTTTAAACACTTCCCACAGCCGCTGTATGCACCAGACTATTTCAATACCAAGTAAAGAAAAGTAAAGAAATTTTTTAAATGGAATAAGAATATATCTTACTTATATTGGGGTTTGGGGGGTTTTCACACATACATGCACATACTGAACAATATTTTTTATTTTGATTACCTTCCTCAGTTGCAAATTCCATAGTAATCTAATTTTAATCACTGTACAAAACATAACAGTATTGGCCAACGGACATTTTTTAGTTAGTGCTGGGACTGAATTAAAATTAAATCTAGATAATTTCAGTGTGTAATTAATTGTATTTTAATAATTTCCAGCATTCCTTTAGATAATTTTTAAAGTAAAATTTAACTCCCAGTGTGCTGAGAGAAGCCACACTTTGAAAGCCATCGCAATAACGGATGTTTCTTTTGCGTCAGATTTACGAGTGTACCAGAAACGAACAAATACAAAGGTTCCAGCAGGAACCAATGTTTATTTCCATCTGGTAGCGGTTTGTATTTCAACATAAGGAGAGTAAGGGGCTGGTCATGTGACAGGGATGAATGCAGAGCAGGACTGTTAGGTGTTTAACTGGAACAGAGAAGCAATGTCAGCGATGTTGCCATGTTTTCACCATGTGTACAGAAGTTAATATAATATTGGAAGATATCGGGTAGCAGCTATAACAGCAATAATGGCTCAAATTTCTATATCACAGAATTCATAGATTGATCAGTATTATATATTCTATGTTTTCCAATTTTTCCTATTTTAAAATCTCTTGATCTTATTTTTTTTTTTCTTTGAGTGAATCTGCATGATCACACTTTCCTTTGACTTGCTGCTGGTACACCTGAATTTCCCCATTGTGTTCTTCAATGTTCAATGAAGAACATTTCTACTGTATTCTTTTCTAAAATATATATAAACAGCTGCAAGGGTGAAGCTAAATGATTCAACATGCCTTCTTACGTGGGAAAATAAAAATTGATATGTCAGGTAAAATAGATTTACATGATAATTTATATCAGTGTACAGAAATGGTCATATAACTTAATATATGTGAATAAATGGGGTATTTAGCTGTGACGAACCTCTGAGCTGAACACATGTGATGGGCTGTGGCTGTTTGTTGACGCTGCTAACGACAACATTTCATTTCTGTTAGCTGACAGCGATAGATAAACCAACTCCAGACAATAAAACGCACAATCCACACGCAAACGTCTCCTGCAGGTGACAGTTTTACTTTACCTCGAGTGTTTTGGGATGATCCAGAAGAGCCTTAGACAGCAGGAGTCCGCGTTGGATAAACAACATGAAGCTAGCTGCCCCTGAGCTGTTAGCAGCTTAGCTTCTTCTCCAATAAAAACCGTCAGCTCCGTTCTGCGGCTGCGCTGCCGTTCACTGAAACCGGCCAAACCATAGCTTAAAAGCGGACCGCGGGGCAAACAGCGTCCTGCAGAACAGGACACAAAGGTAATGCACTTGTTTTGGTCCGGCTATCGACATCACAGGTAAATTGAGCTAAAAAATTTTCGGTGTTGAGGTAAAATGAAAGAACTTCCTGGTCGCACAGCGGTTGACTTCCGGGTTTCAAATTCAGTTTTTTTTTTTTCACTTGACCGAATAAATAATAAAAACAACCTTTAGAATTTGACACAAACAAAAAATTGGAAATACAAAAACACAATTGTTCAATATTAAATTAAAAAAATTTTAACTGTAGTTTTAATTACTGTAAAATTATCTTACAGATATCTTGTTTTTGCATTTTTTAACACTTATTTTTTGGGGGGATGAAAAAAAATGTTGTATCAGACAAATAATGCAATTTTAAAATAATGACCTCATTTATTAATGAAAACTAACTTTCCAAACCAAGCTAGCCCTATCTCAGCTTAATAAGTCATAAAACCACGGTTTTTGGAAAGTTGAGTTCATTTTCACTGAATGTGGCTACTAGATGAGTAGAATCAAGAAATCACTTAAATAGAAAGAGCCTGAAAGATGTCAAAAAGGTACAAATCACCACCCCAGTGGGAGGAAAATGAGGAATGGATGGGAAGCAATGTAACTGATATCTGCCAGTCATAGAGCTATTCCTAAAGCTTTGGGATTCAAATGGCCACAGTGATAAAGTAGCTGGAACGGAAGTGAATCGTCTCAGCAGAGGTCAACCAACCAAAATTACTTCAATAACTCATCAATGACTCACCCAGGAGGTCACTGAGGAACCCTATAGGCCTCACTTGCCTCAGGTAAGGTCACGGTTTATGAATTAATTACTAACTACTAAGACATTTTATCAAAGAAAAATCTTAAAAATCTACAACTTTTGAGGGGGGAAATTTTCTGGACTTATGACACAAAAACTGAACTTTCGGAACCGTTTCCATCCTATTACATTTGGTGCAAAACTAACACAGCTTCTCAAAGAGTATAAAACAAATAGGTAAACATGAAACATGAACAGTCAAAGTCAGGCCTTAAATCTGATTGGTGTGCCTGAACTCCATTAAATATCAAGTCATTTCAAATAGAAACCTGATGGCCTTTGGCAGTAAACTGAAAATGGGTTTTCATTTTTCAATAGGATCATGACTCATGACTCACAGCAACAGGTACTCCTGCTAAAGATACATAAAAGGTGTTGGGGCAAGCACTTCTAAAGTCTGCAGGACACTGGCCCTAAAGATCTGGAGTTTGATCTCTGATCTAGGGAGAATGGTCAATGATCCCTGTATTCGCTCCAACCCTATGAAATGATGCGGGAGGAGACTAAGCACAGTTCTTTTGGTAAAATTGGGTTTTACAAAGTGTTAACAGCTGGGGTGACAATAATTGTGTGTGGAGATTTTGTTTAAATATTTAATCACACATCTTTATCAGCGGTGCTAATAACTGTGGGTGATGTTTTATGTCAGTATAATGTCTAAATATAGAATATCATTTTGTCGGAAACTTAATCAGCTCTACACCTTTTATTTAATTCATTTCATCATGTTAATGACCATAGCTGTCAGTTGGTGTATGCTGGTTCTCACCTTCTCTTTCTTGGACAAATAATTTTCCAGATGTCTCAAACAATCAGCATTACCTTCAGACTTTTTCTATGTTTATCTCTGTTCTTCCTGTAGACCCTCGGTCTGTTGCCTGGACAGAAGTCACTTTTTCTGACCTTCTTGATATGAAGCAGCTGTCTGGAAGTCTCCATCTCACTGCCCATACAGATACATTTATATCAACTTCTGCAGATCCTCGTAAAGCTCCGTGGGGAAGGAGAGACGTCACCTCAACAGGACAGTTCTGGAGCTTGCTGGACTCTTTTGGACATCATAAACTGAACCTTTTATCTTGAATCTAGATCATCCATTAAACTGTTCTTTCAGATGGAGTGTTTGTGGATGTGTGGCCATTTTGACACAAAGCAATGCTAATAACAGACATTTCTTTGTAGATAATTCCTAGCAAAAAAGGACAATAACTTAAAATGCATCAGTCCTTCTGTTTTGTCAATGAGTTAGCCAATTAGCTGGACTAAGGACATTTTTTGCCACTTCACCTGTGATCGTGAAATTAAGTTTGAAGGTGGATACAATACTGACTTCGATTATGTTCCACCTATTTACAATTTTTTAGAAATGTTCATTATTTTACACACCTGGTTTAAATGAATAGGTCATGGGAAGGGAACTATCTGCAAGACCCTTCAAAATCATTGGGATTAGGGTCATTACCTCGATTCTGCCAAGCCTGAAAAAACCTAGTGTCATGTTATTTTTTGACATTATATTAATATGATAATCCAAACGATTATAGCAATGATTTTATTGAAAAGTCTTTTCATATGCACTTTGATTTCATACTGCTGTCAGAAGACAATGTTTGTAAAGAAAAAGTGTAAACATGTCTTCGGGAATGGACTTTGATGGCATTTGAAGTGAAGTGTTGTGAAGGGAAATGCCACCAGAGCTCTTTACTCAACACCTTTCATGAACTCCAGGAACTCTGCCAGAGACAAAAAACACAGAATCTGTTAACACAGAATGAATAAATCCCAGTTTATGCAAAGCTCTTTTATAAATGGACTTTATCAACTTCCAGTTCAAGCTTTATTCCTTTTCGGTAACTTTAGCTGTGACCCGACATTGGACTCCGATGTTCCAGAGGGTTAGAGATTACAGCTCTCCAAGAATAGCTGCAATCTGCAAATATCTGAGATCACCTCTAAGATGTATAACTTCCTGTTTTAATAGTTAATAAACCAATTACACCTTAATATGCATGAATACATACAGTGGAAACGTCTTGGCACTAACATCAACTGTCCTCTTTATATCTATTCTTGGAGGTTCAGCCAAGCAGGGAACTAAATGTCATTCCTGGATTTTCCTCTTTGCAAACATCAGCCAACAGCATGTTAACTTAGGTATTTCTGCACTGTCTTTTGAGTATTTAAGTTATGTGCTATGAAAAAAATCTGCAAATATTTTGAGATGCACAGAAAAATCTGTGAATAGGCAAAGGTCCAATCAGAAATGTTTTTTATCCCAATAAGGACTATTGCTTTGAGTGACACAGACCACTACATCACAACCTCAGTCATCCCGGACAAAGGATGCAATATTAAATACAGTTTAGTTATCAATAATTTTCTTTTTCATAACTTAGAGTTGTGAGAAAAAGATCAGTACCATCATAATCAATCTTCCCGTCATTGTTTTTGTCTCCGTCTTTCATCAGCTCCTCAATGTCATCTTCCGTGATGGGTTCTCCGGTGGACTCCAGCATGCTCTTCAGTTCTTCTAAGTCGATGTAGCCATCCCCGTTCCTTAACAAAAGGAAATCACTGCTTTAAAGTTGACTTAAGGATGAGTCAATCTTCTAATCTATTTCTTTGCCTCTCCCTAGAAGAGAATGACCATTTAAATAAAACCTACTTGTCAAACATGCGGAAAAGTTCAGCTAACTCTTCTTCTGATTTTCCTTTGCTCTCCTCCTTCATGCATCGGACCATCATAACCAAGAATTCATCAAAGTCTACTGTGCCGCTCCCTGTGAACATAAAGCCTGGTGTTATAAAACTACTTACATCTTGGTAGTATCCCTAAGCACTTCTACCTTTAAATCATCCAATAAAACAGAAAAGGTATTTCTACTTAAAATGAGGTCAAAGGACAGGCAACAAAATGGCAACGTACCATCCTCATCCACCTCATCAATCATCTCCTGTAACTCCTCAGGAGTTGGATTCTGTCCGAGCATTCTCATCACCTTCCCCAACTCTTTTGTGCTGATGCAGCCATCTTCTGCATCCTGAATGAAGACGTCAAAGGCAGCCTTGAATTCTAGAAGAAACACAGCATTGCATGTTTGAGGACCAGAAACTTTCTGGTGAGGTGTGGGAACAAGCCATGGCAAAAAAAAACAAAAAGAAAAGAAAAGAAATGCATTGACAACTACAAATACACCGCAAACAAATCAACCAAAAGTTACCTTCTGCTCCAATGTTCACAAGCCTTCTGAACCGATTTGAAGGGAGAACCAGAGCTTTTGGGTCACATTTTGGCTGTTCATGAGACCAGTTACATACCAGTCTTCACCACATGAAATGGGATGGCATCTCTTGTACTTATTATTCCAATATCAAGTTTATATGGCCTTTGTGTCACCCAAAAGTGAACTTAGCAAACCATATTGTGACTGGACAAAACTTTCTGGAGATCCAAGGACCGACCTTTCAAATGGTTTTACAAAGGAAAAGCTTCAAACAGAGAAAGGGTTAGATGTGTGAAACATTTGTTGTCATTAAAGACTGGTAAGTCTTTAATGTACCAGTCATTAAAGACTTGTAAGTCATTAAAGACTTGTAAGTCATTGAATACCTGTAAGTCTTTAATGACTTACAGGGACCACAGAGACCATTTGTGGTCTCTGTGGTCCCTGATAAACCCAGAGATACTGTCCAGCTCCTCCAGTAATGTTCCCAGACTAGAGGGGTGTATCAACATGATTGACATGATTGAATTTAGTCCTTTACCATTAGCTTCTGCTAAATACCATGTTGGTATAGCTCTTTAGTGGAACTAATGTTTATGATTAGTGCTTTAGGGTTAGCACAGCTAACATTTTAGCTAGCATTGCTCACCGCTGATAGTTTTATTTCCATACGCCTTAAAAAATAATATTTGTTCAAATTTACTAACTCAAAGTCAAAGCAGAGCACAAACCTGAATATTTGAAATGCTGTAGGGGGCGCTACACATCTAATGTACTTTTTCACTCAGTCATTTCACCTTAAAGACACAGAGCTCTGCGAAGAGCCAGCAGTTCAGCAAAACGTAAAAGTTTTCAGTTTTTCTGCTAAGTGTGGCTAAAGTCACAGACGGATGACCCCGATTGAAACACAGGCTTCCTGCCCTGAGTGGGCGGGGCCAAAATGTTGGCTCGGTGATGGCGGAGGATCCTCTTTACACCAAACATGGCCGACCCTAGAGCTGACTCCGTTAGCTTTCAGATTACTGTTAGAAGACTCAATACATGTGATACTTTTTAATCTCTGTTCAGAAACCTGCGTAGTTTAGAGATATTATTAGTATCAAACACAAAACAGTTAATGGAGACAAACATCATGATAAATAAAATCAGTACTTTAAGTCTGTTTTAGTCTAGCAGTTGCAGTTTCCTCACCATTTTTCTGCTCCTCTGTCAGGTTCTCTACCTGCAGATGAGAAACAATTATTTTCCTTCTGTGACTGTTTATCCACCTCTTCACACTGCAGTAGGACCTCAGTTCTCTTGGTGACAATATTCTTAGTTTAGCTGCGCTGTAAGGCGACACGCGCTGCTTCAGCCGCTGCTATTCTTGTGAGGTTTTTGGAGCTCAAGTGGCGATCTGTTCCTCACCAGCTGTTCATTGTTCTGATGTCAGTCACAGAAACCAGACCTCAGGCCTCTCGCGCCTCTATCTGCTCTGTAGGCGTCTATTTCTGATTGCATTCACAATAAAATTTACATTTTGAGCTGTTAGAAAATGGTTGATGCAATAAAATAAAAATTGAAGTTCATTGTTTGAGATGTTTGACCTTAGCGTAGCTGGTTGGAAGCAGATTTAATTTGTAGCTACTAATTTCAAATTGATTGGAATTTCCAACAAATCTCTAAATAAATATTAACTGAAACATAACTTCTTTTACCCCATGAAGGAGAACAAATTAGCAGATCATACCACCGATTATCAGAACTCACCGCTGCTTTATACACGTCATCCATGACTGCTGGTCGGTTCTGGACTCGGCCACACTGCTACCTTCAGAACCAGGACAAGCTCTGGCAGGAATATGTTGCTCTGTCTGCTATGTTGGCTCATGTGGCATCTAAAAAAGGTTCTGGCCCAACTTTCATTATCCTATGATAGTGGAGGGCGGGAGGAGTGACAATGAAGAAGAGAGGCCATCTATAAATGGAAGATAAGAGAAGAAACCTAAAAATAGATAAACACTGTGTGCATGCAGCCTTATGGTGGATGTATTACATCAGGAGGCTCATTCTGAAATATGAAATTATGATTTTTACAGAAAAGAGACACAATGAAACAAAAAGCCGTACAAATTAGTTCTGAATCAGTAGTAAAATCTACGGAATGAAAGCAAAATTAAATCTAGTTTGTGGCAAAGTGCAAGTGTTTCAACTCTTACGGTACAGTTAGCAAGAAGGTGACACAGCCAAACGAAACATCTGGCAAAGTGTAGTATGACAAGAAAAAGAGATAGAACCTTGTTCCATCCTGACTGTGAAGTACGGGAGTGGCAGCATCATGTCGTGGGCTGTGTTGCTGCAGGAGGAACTGGTAATGAAATAACATCATGTGGAAATGTTGGAGCAACATCTAAAGACATCAGCAGGAAGGTAAAGCTGCAGATGGACGATGACTCAGCAGCCAAAGCAGCTTCAGGACAACAAAATCAATGTTTGGTTCTGATGTCTGGAGAAATTATGGGTAGATCTGAAAATGTGTGTGAACAAGAAACCCCATGAATCTGACCCAGTTCTGTCAGGAGGAACGGAGCAGAACTCCATCAAAATACAGTGAAAATCTGCTGGAAGGAAACAAAAGCTTTGACCCGAATCATCCAGGTCAAAGGAAATGCCACCAAATACTGAGGAAACATAAACGTTTGCTTTTGAAGTCAAAAATAAATAAATCTGAACAATTTTTTCTCTCATTGTTGTGGAATTTGGCAAATAGAAATAACTTATGATTCTAAACAAGTTTGGTCTGATTTAACTTCACCCTGTTGTCATATTGAGTCTGTTTGTTTTTACAGCATACTGATACTATTAAAAAGGTCACTGTAATTTTACACATTCAGTAATGGAAATTATACTGATTCTTAAATAAAAAAAACTCTTCTTGGCTGTATTTACTGTCCTGCAGGCCTGTGAGTTTATCAGATATAGAAATAACAATAGTTACACAGACGGGGTTATTTTCAGCAGGTGTCCTTGACAAAAAATAGTTGTCCTTTTGAAATGGGGAGGGCGACGGAGAGTTTATGGTAATAAATGTCAGAGACTCTCACTATGCAGAATCAGATGGCAAAGAGCAGCAGCTGCACAGGCCCTCTGAGCTCCAGAGAGAGGCTATGTGAGCCTGAAGAACTGCTTTTTACCACTTAAAGTATTCCAAATAATTAAAGCTAATCCCATTGATTATGCATGTGTTACTTCCAGGCCAGACTAATTTATCATCAGGATGTCCAAGAGGCTTTTTGCAAAGCTTCCAGCTAATCTAAAATGCCAGTCAAGAGCTCTGATGGCGAGCATTAAGAGAAATTATGTATCTTCACTTTTTACATCTTAAAAGGGTTTAAACTAGACTTTCTACACAACAACTACCAAACTTACTAGCGGACCTGCTAAAGATACATAAGATGCGTCAAAAATAATTGCTCATTGCTGCTGCAAAATCTGAAGCAGATAAAGGAAATAATAATAATAATAAAAGTAATTCATAATTTCTTTTTTGTTCACAGAAAATGAAAAATCAAAAAGTTGTAGCATGGATTTGCATTATTAGTTGGTTTATGCTCACATAGTGCCATTTTATACCACAAACAAGTAACTATGTTACCTTCAGTTTTTGTAAAAAAATGCTACTCATCAAATATGAGTTAAAGAAACTACTTCGTAATTTAACTCTTTGAAATTGGGTCTCCATTTCTTTAAAAACTCCTGCTCCTTCTGAAGCTCCGCCTACAGGAAGTCATCCAACATGGCTCATCTGTTAACCCTTTAGCGTTTTTTATCAGCGTAGCTCTGAGAAGTAGCTCCTATAATGAGCTCAGCAGTTCCACCAGGTGTTTGCTAATTGCTGCTGGCTAGTCTGAAGGAGCTGAAAGGGGGAGGAGCTACACCTCAAAGGCGGGGCTAGGTCCACCCAGGCGCTCTACACAGCTGAATGGTTGCCATGGAGATTAAAGGATGCATGAAAGAATAAAATCAACACTCCAAGTTTGTTTTTGATGAGGGAATAACATTATAACATAACGGAAAATTTTAAAAAGAAAACAGTAATTTTTTCATAATATTGCGGTTTTAGGCCACCGTTCTACCTGTTCTACAGTTAATTTTCTGTAGAACAGGGTTTCCAACTTCAGTCTCCAAGGGCTTCTGCATGTTTTAGTTCTCACCCTGGTTCAGCACACCTGGATCAGGGGACGGCTCTTTGGCACCAGGCCTCTGCAGAACATACTGAGCGCTGACCCCGTTTTATTTGATTAATTTGAAGGTGAATGCTGCCACCTAGCGGCCAGTGAATTTTATGGCTGCGGTAAAATAAATCCTAGTCGTGAATGAGGATGATTGCTTTCAGCAAGCCAGAGCAATCCCCCGGTGTACTGGTGCAGGAGCTTTGGACTGGTTAAAGTGGGAACAAATCTAGATTTAAGGTTTTCAGGAAACTGGTGTTGATTCTGAAAGCTTTGTCTTTCATGTGAGTTTTTATTATTGTTAGTTAGTTCCTGATGCTGACATAAAATGATCAAAAACATCAGCA